GGCCCTTGGAAATAGGTGTCTTTAAAATAAATGCAATAAATGGAATCAGTTAAGCTGAAAAGGTAATCAAGATCACCAAGTCCAACAAGCCCACCACTAAGCCATGTCCCTCACTGTCACATCTACAGGGATGGTGACTCCACCACTGCTCTGGGCAACCCTTTCTGTGAAGAAATTTCCCCTAATATCCAATATAAACGGCCCCTTATGCAACTTGAGTTTGTTTCCTCTTGTCCTATTGCCTAATACTCAGAGGGAGAGCCTGACCTCCATGTAGCTCCCCCCTCCAGTCAGGGAGCTGCAGAGAGTGAAAAGGTCCCCTTTGAGCCTCCTTTTCTCCAGTCTGAGCCTCTCCAGCTCCCTCAGCCGCTCCTGGTGCTCCAAACCCTTCCCCAGCTCCACTGCTCTTCTTGAAGACATTACAATGACATATCAAATATAAATGTGTGTGTCTATGAATTAAAACACACCTATTTATGTGGCATTTGAACCCTGATACTTCACATTCCTATGGAAGCTGTTGAGAGCAACAGAGCAAAGTCTGAGACAGTAAAAAAGCACGGGCACTATAACAAGCTTGACCCTTCTATATTACAGACATAAAGCTGGAAAATTGTGTGTGGTCTCCCTCTGATGCCATACTCAAGATTTTTATTGCAAACACCTTTCTTCAAACATCCATTTAACATGCACCCATCTGTCAAGCGATGTTTTCCACAGCAGTGTTAATGTGCATGTGCCCCCTTCCACTTTGGTAGTTCACACCTTTAACTAGGGCTGGAGCCAGAGTGCAATAAACAGCCTTCCACAGTCCTGGGTATAAAAGGCTCAAAATGTGAGAGACACTTCATCAAAAAAAACAAAAGACCAAGACAGAGCAGTCCGTGGCTTTGAAAGGCACAGGGAGTGGTGGGCTTTAAAACGTTGCTTGCAAATACCTCTCCTAAAAGGTAAGAATTATGAATAATAGCTCAAAAGAGAGGGTAGAAAGCAATATCTGATGGGAAGGACGCAGACACAAGCTAAAAAAAAGAAGCACTTGCCTGGCTCCCAACCAGGTGTTGTGTCTTAGCTTGTTTAAAAATAGTTCTGGTTGTGTTTAATTAGTTATGACAAAAGATCCTCAAAGAATGTATCAGTTCAAGCCTCAAGTTTGCCTACAGTATTTCACCTTTCTTCAGGAAAAAAAAGTCTGAATGAGATATAAAAACTTGAAAAATATAGTATGAAAGTTCCTGCCTTAATGAAATATTAAAAATGCATCAGGAATACTGTTCTGGCATTAAAAATAAACAATAACATTTCTTCCTAGTTACGGTTCACTTCAATTCTTTAAAAATTAATTATTACCTCTTTAAATATTTGATTAAATTAGATTTGGGTGGGTTATCGCTATCCACAAAATACATGGTGTTGTGTATAAATTTGCTTTCTCCAGTTTCTGACATGTACAGGCATGTTGTACAATTGTTTGATTATTGGAAAACTAAATCCAGTGACTCTGTTTTGGCAGTTTGCACACTATATGCTATTGAATCCTACCACTTTGAATGAGAATGCAGCATTACGTTAGAAATCTCTAATAAAAGAGCAAAAGTAAAGCAGCAGAATTACACATTATGTGATATTTGGGATTTTCACATCGTATCTTATCGTGTTGCTATATCTCAGGCTCTAAAAAGAACACATTATTTTTAATAATGGTTAATTAGGATTTGGGGATAATAGCTTAGAAATTTCTAGGCATATAAAGACTATTCTGCTCTCAATGCATGAGGATTTATGAGTGTAACTACTTAGATAGCAAGGGGAGAATAAACCCTCCAGCATGTCCTAAGAGAGGTAAGACAATTATTTCTCAAGCATTACGATAAAAGTAATTTAGTATGTCCAACTGGATAAATAAAGAACGTGGCTGCATGAGCACAGTGGCTGATACAGTTATAAAACAATAGTTTGAGTGAACACCTGGAAGTGTCCAAGGCCAGACTGGACAGGGCTTGGAGCAACCTGGTCTAGTGGAAGGTGTCCCTGCCCATGGCGAGGGGTGGAGTGAGATGAGCTTTAAAGGTCCCTTCCAAACCAAACCATTCTGTGATCCTGTGATAACAATTTTCTCAAGTTCTTCCTGTCTTCCCTTTCTGCCCACGTTTGCAAAGGGAATTAGGGATCCCGGAATGCCAGCTTGGCAATCTGTTTTCCCACATGACTAAACGGTTGAACAGCAGGAAAAGTTCCCTCAATAATTTTTCTTCTGATCCCCTGGAACAGAAGGTTTGAGGGTTAAGAGGCAGGTTGTCAGTCCCTGGCCTCTGTAGCAGTGTTGTTAAGAGGAAAACACAGAGGAGAAGGGTTTGTTTTGGCACTGGGGATGAGGATAGATACCAGATAGGAGTGAAGCTGAGAGCCACTGTTCGATCTGCACAGACCAGAGAGGAGTCAGAAAGAGTTTTGGTCATTAGAGATCAGAACCAGATTTAAACATGTCATGAAGGAGATAAAAAAGAATCTGCATTTTCTAGCCCACAGCCACCTGAATTTTACTTATCAAACTTGATTATTTAATTATTTATTTGTCTTTATCAAGAAAAAATACATTCAGGCTTCGTGGCTGAAACATGTGAAAAGATCATGAAATCCTAGAATGGTTTGGGATAGAAGGGACCTTAAAGGTCATCTAGTACCAACTCCCCTGCCATGGGCAGGAACACCTTCCACTAGATCAAGTTGTTCCAAGCCCCATCCGAAGTGGTGGATGTATATTTTCGGATACAGGCATATTTTTTCAAACATCAGCTGATGTGGCAATTTACCTGAAATCAAATATTCTGAGATTCACAGTGGGCTTTCCATTTCATGCCTTGTCCAGAAGGCAATGATTGAGTTTGAAACAAACAAGAGCATTTGGGTTTGGGGGTTTATAACTCTCTTCTTTCAACTATACTGAAAATATCCAACTTAATCCTCGGAAAGCCAACATTAAAAAAAAAATAAAAATCCAGCCTTCCCTTTAGATTAGAATCACAATCTCACAATGCCAACATCTGGTCCTGAGGACGCAGGATGGCTGCTTTGAAAGGATAATTGACTTTGTGGCGAGGTGCTCTGTTCATTGTTCAGATATTGTGGATGACACTTCCTCTCCACTTGCTCCACAGCCCAGGGAACGCTTCCGCTTCGCTCCACGATGGAATAGCACAGGGAGTGCTCTTGTATGGGCTGATACAAAAGACTTGCAGTGCAAACTGATCATTCCTTGAGGCTGCATAAAAAAATACTTTGCAAAACCATATAAAAATTGTGAAAACTGAATTAATCTCAAAAGCTAAGGTGGTTTTTTTTTTCTTTACAGATTTTAAATGGAAAACATTGTTTTGGCTTTTAATGATAGAGTTTGGGGGGTTTACTAGTTACATATGCCTTAAAATACTGCACATTGCATTAAAAACTAAAGGAACAAAACTGAGGTTTATATCAGAATAAAAATACATGTTTTCAGATAAGTGTTCCTCCACATCTGTCATCAGCATCCCACACTTTTCCTCACTGGCTGTACAGAGCCTTCAGGCTTCAGACTTCAAACATCTGTTTAACTGCTAAGGTGAGTAGGATTTCCTGACTCATTATGCATCCTTTCATTCACTAAAATGCCCAAATGAATTTCATCACTTCTACTTTGAAGGAAGGAAGCCAGGAAAAGCCAAATTAGGGCAAGGATGGGACTTGGAGCAACCTGATCTAGCGGAAGGTGTCCTTGCTCACAGCAGGGGCTGTAACTAGGTGGTCTTTTGGGTCTTCCAACCCAAACCATTCTAGGATTCTAGGATTCTGTGACTCAGGATGTAAACTTTCAATCACCTGGACCTGACTGCAGGACTCAGCTGCCTGCATTTGTGTAGTTTTACTTTTAGGGTTTTTTTTTTTGGGTTTTCTTTCCAGCCTGAGATGCTGAACTTTGCAGAAAGATTGAGTTATTGGCATGAACTGCTCCCATCTCTCGAAGTAGCACAGGCTGCTCAAACTAAAATAGAACTAGAGTGGACTGAAGAGGCTGAACGAGCCATTCATCCCCCCTTCCCTCTGAAGCAGAGACATCCAAATAATAACAGTGAAATCCGGAGAAACAGCAACTATCTTGAGGAGAATGAGAAAGAAAGTGTCTGGAAAACCATCCTGCAGATTGAAAACTCTCTTCCTGCTTCAGAGCCATCCTCGGGTGCTTCAGCTTAACAGCTATAGACAGCACAGAGGCACTCAGAGCAGTAGGGCAGGAAGCTGGGCACAGGCAATAGTGTAGGAAAAATGTTTTCATGATTACATATGTAATAATCCCAGCTCCATTTGCATATTTTGATTTTGCTATTCACTAAAGTTGGGTCCCTGAGGCACTTTGTAAGGTCACCTGGGGGACACCGGGAAGAGGCAACAGGGAGAGCTCACCCTTGGCCAAGAAACTTGCCCAAAAGTGGAAATAAATTGTTCCTGTTTGAGGAAAAAATAAAAAGGAAAGGAGAAAAAAAAAAAGCAGCACAGCTTTGGATGGGAAGACTGTTTCCACAGCCAAGAAGAATTATTTAAGTTGGCTAATACAACACGGCCAGTTGATCCCTTGCCTTTCATATTCCTACTTGCCTGCCTGCCTCCTCCTTGGGACTGTCTGAAGGAAGGGAAGGAGCAGACAGATGTTCCTGGCCTGTGCTGGTGGGGGATCAGGGACACATCAGAGCTTCTTGTCTCTTTTCAGAGCCACCCAGCTGGGAATCGTGACTCACAGCTGGGTCACCAGAGTCTTCCCATCAACCTGGGAAAATGATGGATTCTCAAAACATTTGCAACTGCAAAAGAAAGGGAAAAAGAATTAGAAAAAAAAAAAAAAAGAAAAAGAAAAAAAAGAGACAGAACAAATTTACATTAAAGGAAAAATTGTTCATCCTCTCTGCTCCTTCTACTGCTTTTTGTTGTCTTTGGAGAGACAGGCTGGTAAGGAGATGGTTACTTTGTCCCCTGAGCTCCTCCAGCTCCCAGCAGTGGGACAGCTGCCAACCATTCCTTGTCTATGTCTTGGATAAGGCCTTGAAGGACTTTGGAAAAGGTTCTGTAGTGATAGGACAGGGGTAGGGTTAGGTTAGAGATTAGGAAACAATTCTTGGCTGTGAGAGTGGTGAGGCCCTGGCACAGGTTGCCCAGAGAAGCTGTGGCTGCCCCTGGATCCCTGGAAGTGTCCAAGGCCAGGTTGGAGCAACCTGGGCTAGTGGAAGGTGTCTCTGCCCATGGCAGGGGGTTGGAATAGATGGCCTTTAAAAGTCCTTCCCACCCAAGCCATTCTGTGATTCCATGAAAACTAAAGAAAGGATTTTCTTTCCTTTAAGTACTGGCACTTGTGGAACAGGATGCTCAGAGTTTTCAGTTCCACTGCGAGGATAAATCCACAGTAGGTGAAATAATGCCACTACCCATTGTTAGGCATTACCTTGAATTATGTATAATTCGGATGAATAAGAAAAATCTAAACTTATGTGGCTTTATTTCATTGTAAAATGGATCTACAAGTCCTTGGGCTACTGAAGGGAGCGGGGTCCATAAGGCCAATAGGGGTTGTCTCTTCTTTTTCCATCACCTTCAGGTACAAAAGGAATCAGAGAAGATTTACCAGGAAAAGGAAGGGGCTGATGAAGAAGAATGAGGACAAGAATGTTACCCCTTTCTGTCTAAAGGATAATTTGCATTCAGTTCCTCACAGGACAGTAAATGAGTGGCAAAACTGTGGGAAAACTTCCCCCATGGCTGATGGCTCAGGATGCAGCAGATCCCCAATTTTTTCCTCCACCTCTCCTCCCCAACTGTGTGAAACACCACCCCAGCCTGAACCCATCACACCATTCCTCTTTGTATCTCTCTGCAGCTCATATTTCCTTCATTCTCACACTGTACTTAAAATCAACACATAATTTATCTTTTTTTTTTTTTCTTCTGTAGGAACACTTTTACTCTACCGTATTCATCCCAGAGAAGGAGAAATTTTTTAATGTAATATTTTCTGGCAGTGTTCATTCTTGTATCCTTTTCCTTTTGACAGGCAGGCTTCCTCTGATCCATTCAGAAATAAAGCATAAATGATATCACATCACAGTTACTAGTATTTCTTTACTTATATATTTCCTTTTTTTATGGTGTTTTCTCTTGGGACCTCCTTTTCCAACAACATGTTCTGCTATCAGCAGGTTAGATCCAGGAACAGAAAGATAGTTAAGAGAGCAGACCTTAAAGTTAGTGGTCTTTAATAAAAGTGCAAAATAGGAACTGTGTGGCACGATACACAATAATTAATACTTTTTAAAAAATACAACAAAGACAAAAAGGGCTAAAAATGTCCTTTCATACAATAAATCTGCAGAGGTTTCCCACCACAATGCTGAAGAGATTTTTGTCTTACTTATTCTCAGATGAAGTTAATGTAGTCACTTATCTCTTTCCTCCTGTTGTCCTTTACATCCTTCCCACAGACATTCTTTCTCTTCTTTCCTGCAACCAAAACTCACCTCAGTTACTTCTGTCCCACCTTAGTCAAGCACAAAACCCCAAAACCCACCTGCAATCTCAAGTCCCCAAAGCCCATGAGAGGAGTGAGACCTTCTTTGTTTGAAGTGTTGGGATATTTTATCTTATTTTTATTTATTTTTACATATTTGAAGATAAGACTTTTTCCAGGGGATACCACTCAGTGCTGTAATTAATTACCTGGTTTGCTTTATGCAGAATTTTTCTCTTAATGGGTGGTAATAAGAACTGGAAGTCAGCTCAGAGATGTAACTCTGTGTCTTCTGGAAGTGATCTGACTGTTGGATCAGGGTGTCCCTGGCACATTTGTAGAACAAATTCATATGTCGGCTTCCACAAAGCACTGGTGGTGCCTGAGCTTGGCAGCTCTTCCATTCTACTGCAAGTGAAACAAAATCCAGACTTTAAATCCAGCCTCTTCAGTCTGTTCCAAGACTGAAATTTAAACATGGAGATCAGAGGCCACCTCTCCAATGTTGGTTCTGGTTAATCAAGAGCTCAAATGGACTCCTTTTTCAGATGGGGATTGGATATTTCTGAAACCTTGAAAACTTATATTTATTTCTTTTTTTTTAATTCTATTCAATGTGCCAAAGACGTTTGGAGAAGTATTGATCTCTTGTGGTTTCCATAATTTAAAGCATCTCCTGGATCAGGTAATCTCAACAGACTGGCACATCCACCTGGGCCAAAATTTCATGCTTTATGTGTATATATTGCATAAAGTGAAACGTGTTCACAACAGATTTGCTTAGCTGGCCCCACATTAATTGCTGCTGTGCCTACAGAAACTTCACCAGACACAGACTGAACACTGGGTTTCGTTTAATCAAGCTCCTAATTTGCATCTTGTATAAAGTTTCAGCTTATGACTGATTTGAAAAGGCTGCCCTGTCCCCAGAGGGTTGATACATGATATTTTACAGGGCATGATAAATAATATTTTTAAAACTTAAATAAACAAGGTCTCTGAGTGTTTTTCCCTGAAAAGTTTTCCTACATTTATGACAATTTAAATATGCCCCTGGAGAGCCAAACCATGAAGATAAAGAATACAGGACCAGACAAGGGAGGACTTGCATTTTGAACACAAAGACATTCAAAAGAAGACAAATCCTGACATTTGCCCCCTTTTTGGATGACCAAAAAAATACATAAATAAATTACTAAATAAGCTTATTGTAGGCTCATTCTGCTTTTTCATATACCTACAGCAAAAAATGAGTCACATTTTAATGCATGAAAACCAGGTGACAACATATTTGAATCTTGTATAAAATAATGAGCTGTATTTTCCTTTGAGATGTGTCAAAATAAAATACCACTGGGAGAAAGTGTGTCTTACTGAATCCTTTATAATAGGCAACATAACCAGCAATGTGTGAAACCAGAGAAATTCAAACCCACACACTAAGAATCACCTCTAAAAGGTGGAAGGAGTGGGTTATCTTTTAATTCTTTTTGGCTCTTCCTATTAGGATAGGTCAGGGAAAGGAGAATCCTCAGAAAGATTTTGGGATCCATCAGGAAAGTAGTTGTTTTACAGCAGATGTTGGTATTTTGGGGAATGTAATGACCACCAGAGTGTACAAACCCGGAGTGGAGCTGACTGAGCACAATCAGGCAGATCTTGGAACTCAGTCTGATATGACCAACTGGGTTTTGGGGGTTTGTACTTATTACAAACTCTGCTGGTTTTGCATGGGGGGAAAAAAAAAGGTTGTGTTGTATATGAGCACATGAACCAAGAATGAATGAAACACACCTATGGATCTGCCCGTGGCAGAGGCCTCCAAATGCCTCACTGAAATGGAAAACAAACAAATAAAACTCAAATAAAATAAACAAAACTGAGAAAGGGGAAGGGGAAGGGGAAGGGGAAGGGGAAGGGGAAGGGGAAGGGAAAGGGAAAGGGAAAGGGAAAGGGAAAGGGAAAGGGAAAGGGAAAGGGAAAGGGAAAGGGAAAGGGAAAGGGAAAGGGAAAGGGAAAGGGAAAGGGAAAGGGAAGGAAAGGAAAGGAAAGGAAAGGAAAGGAAAGGAAAGGAAAGGAAA